TATTGAGAACTTTTTCTGACTCAGAGGCAGTGTCTATAATGAAATTGTTCACTCGAAAACCCGAAAAAGAACAAGTTTTTAACAGTTTATAGTTTATTAGAAAAAAAATTGATTATTTTAACCTTTTTCTTTACTGATTTGCTCGTTGGACTTATTTCTCCAGCTGAAGCTTTCTTCAATCGTAAGCCTTGTGGAACAATGTTACTTTTGATTATAAGATTTTGTGCATCCTTCCCAGGACTGATTTCGAACCTATTGGTAGTCATCAGCGCTTAGCTTGCAAATGTGGCATTTGCGGTCAAGAAACCAAGAAACAAAGTTTTAATGCTTGCATAATTTATTCACGTCATAAATAAGTTAAATAAAAACAAAACAGCTAATTTAGCCAGAACAATATGTACAAATCAACGCTCGGTCAATCTCCTAGTAGTGGTATTTAGGGGCAGCAGCAACCACCACCTTCTTGTAAACTGGGGCTTCGGTAGGGTGGCCTTGCCTCTCCACTACGGCATTGAAACCATGTCCTTCGTCGGAGTATTTCACAATTCTGACAGTACCATCAGCTTCGTGAAGGGAATACTGTCCAACCACATGGTCTCCTTCGCGTTTCTCCTCTTGGGAATGGAAATCACCGGTATGAGGGTCGGCAATGGTGTAGGCGAACTCGTACTGAGCTGGGCCGTATTCCTCCTTTTCGTAGTACTGTGGAACTTGTTTGGCTACAGTGATGATCTTCTTGGCGACTGGAACGGCGATTTTAGCTGGCGCTGGAGCGCTGTAGTAGGAGGCGACTGGGGCAGGAGCGCTGTAGTAGGAGGCGACTGGGGCAGGAGCGCTGTAGTATGAAGAAGCTACTGGGGCGGCAGGTGCGCTGTAGTATGAAGAAGCTACTGGGGCGCTGTGGTAGGAAGGAGCAGCTGGGGCGCTGTAGTAAGCAGGGGCCACTTTAGCTACTACTGGAACAGCTACTTTGGTTACAGCTGGGGCGGCGTAGTGCTGGACGGGGGCTGATTGAATGTGTTGCACGTGGTTCTGGTTGTCGTTGAATGAGGCATATGAAGTAGCTTCGCCAGCTGGGGCGGCAGTGGCTACAGCCAGGAAAGCGAGGGCGAACAACTGGAATTCTCATCTTAAAACACCCCCCAAAAAACCAGATACGAAATTCCTTACCTTGTACATCTCGAAGTGGTATTTGATAGCAAACTAGACTCGGTTGTAAGTGATTTGAAAAAAAAATGCTCGACTTTTATATACCCAAAATGATAGCCTTCCGCGAGATAATTTTTTACCTTCACCGGGCCACCACCCAAAAATGTTAACTCTATCGCCTGTAATGATATGCATTCTATAATACCACATCACATGTTAGGTAATGTCTGCGATTCTAGGTCTACGGTCAAACATCTAGCACGCTTACGATTAATTAAAAATAAGTAGCAGCAAGGACGCACATTAGTTGTGTCATGTAATTTTCACTCAGCGTCGGTGTTGGAAAAAATCAGATCAATAGTGGCCGGTCGGTAATCAATCACTTTTTTGGCCATGTAGAGATTCAGAGAAATTGGTACCAATTTGTGCTTGTACGGCGAAAAATGCTAGTTCGTGAACGATGCCGATGCGAAGATAAAGAAGGCTTGGCTGCTGGAGATGATTTTTTCAGTGGTAGTTTCGGTTGAAAATATTGAGATTTCCGCACGCACTTTGACTTAAACTCATCAACCAATTAGGAAACGAATTGAAGTTCGAACAGTTATCCATTTGAAAACTTAAAAAAGATCCTTAAAAGACACTCACTCGTCTTGAACATCCGACAAAGCGAGTCAAAGTTCTTCATCGCATTCAAAAGACATCAAAGAGCACTCAAAATGCACTCACAACATTGAAATACTTTTCAGAAGACACTTAAAAGTCCAAGAGCGAATGCCAAAACGAATTATGTGGCTCAAATGGGTCTTGAGAAACTTCGAAAAAAGCAGCGTCATGTTCAACTGGATTTTGCAACTCAAAAAAAACTACGCAAATCTAAAACTTCTCGAATTCAAGCATTTTTTGAGAAAACTGCCAACATTTTCTTATCGATGGTTCACTTTCTAAAAAGGCCATTTATTTCTCTCTAGAATGATGTACAA